GCCTCCTATTCTTGACAAAGTGTTTTAGCGCATTTGAATTTCCCGCCAACAGTTTTATAAACTTGAAGCGTATCTCGATTTTGTGTCGTTCAAGTGTTTGTCAGCAGTTGTGACGTCAAATTATGACGTAGCAGTAAGGAATTTACATTGGAGCATTATCATACTCCAGGAGTTCACAATAGCAAATCCATGACTGCCGAATACTTTGTTCAGCGACTGCGAACGACGTACCAAGTATGGCGTTTAAAAATATTTTGATCGGCAAGCTTTGTAGCATTTTAACACGAGGTCAGGAGCGAAGCAAAGACATACTTTGTATAAATTCTGGCCTTATATTCAAGTTTTGTGAGAAAGGGAGATCGTTTAGAGGTTTTTCAAAAAATATTGAATACTATCGCCGTTTTGGGTTGTCGTTTCAAAGTAAGTTATCCTGACATGTTATATGTTGTATGTTGTATTGCTGTAGGTTTTACTGTAATATACATCGTAACATCGACTGTACACTCTGCAGTGACAGTGTTTTTGATATTTTGACAAATTAGAACTTTTTATCTCCTCTAGGTGTATTTTTTGGCGTGTGTTCGTGGGGATCTTTTGGTCAAATCAAATGAAAAGGGGCCGCTTATATTATGTTTTTCAAAAAAGTAGTGAATTGTGAACTCGCTGTACCGTTCATGGACGACGAAGGTCTGGTACGTTTGGGTGAACGTCTTGAAAGATCACCTCTATCATATGATTGTCGACATCCGATTATTTTGGGAAAAGGATCGCATCTGGCTGCCCTTCTAATCAGAAGGTCTCACGAAGAGGTGAAGCATTTTGGAGTAAACACAATACTCTGTAACCTGAGGCAGCGCTATTGGCCAATAAGAGGAAAGGAACAAGTGAAGAAGATCTTATCGAGCTGTGTCTTATGCAAGAAATGGCGTGGTAATCCTGGTGTTCAATTTATGGGTGACCTTCCTGCATCGAGAGTTGACTTCCCAAACCCACCATTTACCTTGACGGGCGTTGATTATTTTGGCCCTATAACCACCAAAGCTGGCTTTAGAGGAGGTCGACGAGAAAAGAGATACGGAGTCGTGTTTACATGTCTACAAACACGCGCTGTTCACCTTGAAGTTGCCCAATCCCTATCAACTGATGATTTATTGAAGGTTTTTTCTCGATTTGTCGCCAGAAGATCGAAACCGAAACGGATGTTTTCAGACCAGGGGACCAATTTCGTTGGAGCAGAGAGAGAAATGCGCCAGTTAGTAAAAGAATGATGCAATGATGTCGTTCTAAAGCCGAAGCTACAACAAGAAGGCTTGGATTGGAACTTCAATCCTCCTTTTGTTCCTCACATGGGAGGAGCCTGGGAAGCCATGGTAAAACTGGCAAAACGTGCGATAACAGCCACAACAAACGGAGCTCAACTCACAGATGATGAACTTTCCACCGTTGCAGCTGAATGCGAAGCCATGTTGAATAATCGTCCGTTGACGTATGTAGGAAGTGATCCAGATGACGTAGAGCCTCTGACCCCGCGAATTTCTTAGCTGCAGGACAGTTAATGCCATTGCTGCCGAGCGAAATCCAAGTTGAAGAAGTCTCACCAAAACGGCGTTGGCTATTTCTACAGTCCATCATGTCAAAGATTTGGAAAAGGTGGCAGAAAGAATATCTGCCTTGCCTTCAACGACGGCCAAAATAATAATAATAATAATAATAATAATAATAATAATAATAGACTTTATTTAAAGAAGGTATTACAAAAACCAGTTTAGCAAAGCTAATCTTACACTGGGCCTTCTATAACTACGACTATTAACAAACAAACAAACTAACAAATATATTAGGTAACGTGGGGAAAAAGATATATGGTATATATACAATAGATTATAGATTACGAAATTTGGAACCTGGTGACTTAGTGTTAATTTTGGACCCAAATCAGCCAAGAGGATGGTGGCTAAGGGGCAAAATTGAAGAAACATTCCCAGACGACCGAAACGTTGTGCGATCAGCCAAAGTCTTAACTCAGAATGGAGTATTACACAGACCTGTGACTAAACTTATACTCTTATTAAGAGAACATTAATTTCTATAGAACATTAACTTATTTTGTAGTCGCCCAGACTGCTCCGCCTCTGGACTGGGCGGGGAGCATGTTCATACGATTGAATGATTTTGCATATATGTAAATAGTGTGCTAATGTGTGGGTGTTATTCAACTATAAATACGGACTTTGCTAAGCGAACTATAGTTAGTTATATTTGAAATATCGTGAAGAACTTGAAGTCAAACTTGAAGTAATATTATATGAAATGAAGTATATGAAGTTAAATATATAAAGTCAAAACATTTGCTTTATTTTTACAACAACATCAACGTATAAGAATCGTATATGAAAACATCCGCCATCGCTTTTCATATTTATCTCCTCCCAGCCCCCCAACCGTGTACACAATACTTGAGGTGTTCACTTGGATGACAAGATCTTTTAATTCTCGTTCTTATGGAGTTTTTCTTCTTGATGTAGTAAAGTATTGTACTGTTCAACCAAAGGAGATGGTTTCGACCTCGTAGTGTTTACGTCGGCACAAATTTCGATACCGCGCCTTAAGACGCATTTTTTCACGCGAGCCAATCCTGGTTGATATCGCCGTTCTCTGATATAGGTTGACTGAGGTCGAGGGATTGAAGATGCTTTCGTAGACAATCGTGGAAAATTGATATCGCCAGCGACACAGATTAATTATATATATATTTCCATACTTAATCTATGCCAGCGATTACAATTTTTGAATGACGTGTGCAAACATCTTGGAGAAAAGTTTCAAATTTATCAATCCAAGTTTTATCAGCGTCTGGTGGACGATAACACGAACAAACAAGCATTTTCATGTCTTTCGCAGTTGTTTATATTTCAGCCATAACAATCTCTGATCATGATTATGTTCGATTTCACGCACAGGTTTAAACACAACAGTCTTAATTCCCAGCAAAACACCACTTCCTCGCCTCTTACGATCTTTTCTTACAACACAATAACCCAAATGTAGATTTCGTCGTTGTAAAGTGTAAACATGTCCTGAAAGCCAAGTCTCATTAACACAGACTATACCAAGGTTCTGAAAAGGTTCAAGGTTAAGAAGTTGGTATATCAATGATGTTAAAATATCTTAAAAACCTTCATGTTGGTATAATGCTGAGCGGCAATATTTCAAATTACAAGAGATCAAAAATTGCTGCAAGTAAAGGAAAACAGATTGCTGGTATGCTAATGAACGCTGGAGTGCGATCAGACGGTTTAAATCCGATTTGCGGTATGAACTCATGGAAAACATTTGGTTAACATTTACCTTCAATGTTGTATGGCACCGAAATTTGTAAACATTTAAGACCAATATCCCTCACCCCAGCCCTTTCTAAAGTAGCAGAAGAATTCGTTGTTTCTAAATACATTGGGCCAGCTATTCTGTGTCAAATCGACCCCAACCAATTTGGAGTGATACCAAAATCCTCTGCATTTATTGCAGTGATATCAATGATCCACAATTGGTCCCAATCAACTGATGGCACTGGCGCAGCAGTCAGAGTAGTCCTGTTCGACTATAAAAAGCGTTTGACCTTATTGACCATTGTATACTCGCTGATAAGATCTCCAGATTACCAATTCCGAAGGCAGTCGTACGCTGGACTATTGATTTTCTATTGGACAGAAAACAAAGAGTTAAACTCGCAACCGACTGCGTTTCAGAGTGGGGTGCCATCTCTAGTAACCTTAAATGGACTAACCACATTAACGAAGTCATCAAAAAAGCTAACAAACGTCTTTACTTCATTATCTTACTTAAGCGCGCAAAAGTCAGTCCGAAAGACATTGTAAACTTCTACTGTACAGTTATCAGGCCCATTTTGGAATATTGTGCCCCGGTTTTCCATTACTCAATCCCATCCTTCCTGTCAGAAGATCTCGAGACGGTACAAAAGCGAGCACTGAAGATCATTTTACCTGCGAACTCATATAGCGAAACTTTAGAATATTTTAATCTTCAAACTTTGTTCCAAAGACGCGAAGAAATGTGTAACAAACTTTTCACAAATATTACTAACAATCCGACACACAAACTGCATAATTTACTGCCTCCCAAACATGAGTCGGTTTACCAACTTAGGAACAATAGACTCTTTGAACGATTCGAAACTAATACAGAAAGACTTAAAAAAACTTTTATTCCTATGTCTAGTAACTTAAGTTAATGTAATTTTTAGTACTAAGCGTTTTAATGACCATTTGTAAATATGCCTAATTAACCCATATTCTATCTTTTAAATAATGTTTTATATACTCTTGTAAATTACGCAATTCAGCTGTTCAGCTGCAAGGTAAATTTTAAATACACTATCTATCTATCTAACAATCACTGAGATGGATCTACTCAAGCGAGCTGGAGCGTTTGCAACTAAAACGCTACAAGGTCCTGCGCCAACAACAGCTTCAGCAGGTGCCTTTGGAACAGTTGGCTTGTTGTCAATTACTGGGTTTATTGATAAGAAGAAATTTTTGTTCTTAGGAACTTGATATCGCTCATCGCCGTCGCAATTTCACAAGAAAAGCTTTGTTCATAGACTGTTTACATTTATTTATTATTATTATTAGCATGACAAAATTACTGGATGCTGATTGGTTGAGAGGAGTATAATTATTTCATTAATTGTACTGCAGTACAATTAATGATTTTCCCAAAACAAACAAAATGGCGGAAAGGTATTTTAAACACAAATGTGAAATGAAATTGCCCTAGAGGAACTAGATGAAAATACGAAAAAAGCACCAAATTTTGCTTTAACAAAAGAACTAGATGAAAATACGAACAAAAACTAAATTTTGGTTGAAAGTCTGGCAGAACTGGGCTTTGGCGAGAGAATATGATGTTGACATTGAGAAGTATCCAATTTTGTCATGCTAATAATAAACAAGTATTCATGCGATGTTACTCGTACAATTAGGGATTAATAGTACTCGCCATCGCATGATTACCTATACTAATGAAGTTTCTTCAGTCGGATACGTCCCAGATATTGTTGAAGTGCACTAGCTTAGCAAGCGCAATATACTCGGGGTGGCAATGCAAATTTCATATCATTACCATTATTCGTTTCTTTTCAATTTATTGTCTTTACAGTCTATGAACACGACAAAATTTGCATTGCCATCCCGGTATATTGCGCTTGCTACGTTAGTGTTGACGTGTTAGGAAAATATGAGTTATATCACTATCTGGAAGATTATATGAAGCAGGCATGTTTCCAAATAAACGGTCTTGGAGGAACTATGTTGTTAAAGGGGAAATGGCACCGATATTTGAGCAATTCTAACTCTCGCAAATTTTGCCCAAAACTGAAAAAGTAAGCACAACATACACAAATAACATATACAGAAATCTGGATGGGCAAGATTACGTCAGGATTGAAATGGATTGTAAATGGCATCTTGATTAATTGTTGGCAGACACTTTTTCAAGTTTTAGTCAATTTTTGTGAAAATGTCATGTTACATGTTGCGTGGAAGTTCAAAGTTGTTTAATATGATTCATATATCATAACTTAATCCATTTACAATGTTTATTTTTAACTTTGTAGTTCAGTTTTTGAATAAAAGGCATCTTAGGTAAAAAAATCAGTGACATTGCCCCTTTAAAGCCATCGATGAACATGAAACAGAATGCGGAAAGACAAAATGCAGTGCAAGCCAAACTTGAAATACTTGCGCGAAAACCACCAAAAATTGCAGCCTAGTAGCCTACTGTCCATTGGGAAGTTGCTATGTGCTACCCCAAGGATCGGGAAATATTTTCTAATTTAGTATAAAATGTATTGCTTGGAAATGTACCATCAATAGTTATACGAAGGCTGTGGAATACCACGAAACGCACTACATATGTAGGCTTTGCCATTAACTACCGACATTGTTCCATGTTGCTGGCATCAGCCCCTATAACCTTGCGAAGTCTATGGTGGATTCCCATCGTCATGACATTCGTCTTCACGATCATATTTTCCTGATGGCGATAGCAAGGGACAATTTCGTCGAAGCTTACCCAACCCAGGTTGGATGGACGGATGGATCAACTTTATTTAAAACACACCAATCTTTTCAACTAATGCCGGTTTCCAAAAGAGGTGTGTACTACTATGATTTACAAAAAGGAGTTATTTGCTTCAGCGAATAATCAATTTATTGCTTCCGTGGAAATTTTGTAGGGATATTTAGGGATTCGGGGTAGCACGCAAAATGGGGGTTATGGAGGGAACCTTGCAGGGAAACTCGTTCAACCAGTTTTATTTCCCGTGGAATTTTGCAACACATCAGTGAATTTCCATGTCACGCTTCACGTGCATCTTGGGCACTTGGGCCTACTATATTAAAACGTTGAGTGTTAACACTTAACAGCTCAAGATCATTCACCTTTGGCTTCGCAAGGCAAGTTTTCAAGTCCTCATAAGTTTTCCTTTCTGTATAAAGGTATCGTATCGCTTGTTTATTGTATATTTCAATATGAACGGTTCAGTACCACAGATTTTAGTTTTTGGCCATTCGTTTGTTCGCCGTTTGCGGGATGACTTGGTTAGTCATTTTGATTCCCGTGCGAAACAAAATTTCAACTTGGCTTCGTCAGCAGGCGTGTATTTGCATGGCATAGGCGGTCGTACGGTTGACAAGGTCACAGAATAGATACAGGACCAGAAGTGTCACTCGGACGATATTTTGTCCGAAATTTTACGAGTGCTGACGTGAAAATACGCCATCATATGACGCCATCCTGGAGTGCACACGGAAGTTTTTCATAGGAAAACATAAGTACAAAGTGCCGGGTGCACTCCAGGATGGCGTCATAGCACGTAAAAAAATTTCGGACGTTTTCCTTCAGCCAAAACAAATAGGAGTGACACTTCTGGTCCGGTATCTATTCTGTGACAAGGTCTTTCAATACGACTTGCCTTTTCTTAAGAGTCAACAGTCGGACATTATTATTTTGGAATTGGGCACTAATGACTTATCCTTTTTGTCTCCGGAGGCGGTGGGCTCACGTTTGGAGGATTTAGTTTCACTGTTACGGGATAATTTGCATGTTAGCGTTGTCGCTTTGTGTCAGGTGATTGACCGTTATTTACAGCATTCACAAACGCCTGATACGGTATTTAATACTAAGGCGGCACTTTTGAGACAGTATTTTTCTGTGGTACTGGACAATATGCCTGGTGTTTTCTTGTGAGAACATCGCGCATTTTGTAAAGCTGGGCCTAGCTGGCAAAAATTTGCTGTCCTTAGATGGGGTGCACACCAACCCCCACGGACAGTTTAGCTTATATAAAAGCTATCGAGGGGCGATCTTGAAGGCTCTCTCGCTTTTACGTTAATGTGTTATGCACGGGAATTTACCAGTTTTTCCAAACTACAAGTTTTTTGCATTGTTTTCCTAATTTTGGTATTAAATTTTGGTCAATACTTATAAATATTATGTTTGATGACTTTATGGCCATATATGATACATATTGATTGTTGTATGCTGATTTGTTCAATAAAGTTTGTTGCCATCTTTGGATAGCCTTCCTTGATGGCAGGTTTATCACCCTGGGCCCAAGGGATCTATGAATATTTGGGTGTGCACACATGGTTATGGCTGTTGTGACCCCTGCTGAGCATTCAGCAATTATATTCAGCTGGGAGGTAGCCATTCATGAAACAAGTGGCTTGGCATAGATGGTAAATCTGTCCAGTTTGTTGATGTTGTTTGTTTTATGGTATTTATATGTTGTGTTATTTCTGTATTGGTTTTACAGTCATGTTTTGTCTTTGAATTTATGTGCTTGTTAGCATAAATTTAGGCCACTGTTGCTTTTCTGCTGAATGTATGCCTACATGGGACAGGATTGTTATTCCAGGTGCCCATAGCTGGATTCAATATATAGTGGGTTGCCATCATGTCGTTAAGTGCTTTTGCCCAGTTGTGTGTTCGGCTACCTTTGTGGTATGCCATGCTCAATAAAACTTGTGTTGTCCATTAACGATTGGATTATTTGTTATTGTCACTTGTGTTTACATGTCATTGTCTGATACAGGACTACTTACTCCTAGATGTGAGGGTTTGAATATATATGATGTTTGCAGATGCTTGTTCTAGTTTCTCTTTAGACTATGCCAACCACCCGTCCCAGCACCAGAATACAACACCGTGCCCAATCGACACTTTGGTCTCGACGCGCATCCAGCAATGTTCAAGCAAGGGAACCAGCTCCTCCCATGGCTACAGCTGCGTTTTCTCAGGCAACTTCATCGGCTGTGACAGCTGTCTCGGATCTCGCAGTTGCAACCGTAACAAGGATTGCATCTGTGGTTGCCCAGGCAGTTGTTGCGGCCATACAGTCACCAACACTTTCTACGGTTGTTGACACCAGGGAGGTACCCCTTACTGGTCGCTCTGAGACTGGTGCCCAAGTGCAGGTGCCAGTGGCATCAGCCTTAGAGCACCTCACAGGTGAGTAAGTTAATCTGGAGGTTGTGCGTCCACCATCATCGGGCTCCCATGTTTAGTTTAATTCCATTACCATCCCGATTGATGCTCAGGTCAGTCCCAAAATAAAGGCTAAAATTTGGGCGAATGAGTTTATTGAGTTTGGTTCACTATTGAATCCCCATGTGGGTGAAACATGATATCAGCTTTCACTGGCACAGAGTGAGAGTTCGGTGCCAACACTTTCATTAGAGCCATCCTCTAAGATTAAATCCATATACAGCATTGATGCGTGGTCATCAGCCTTCCAGATTTTTGTTGGGGTTTACACCAGTAAATTTCCTCAAGAAGCACCCGATTTAATGAAATATGCAGAGGTTGTGCGAGATTTGGCTGCACGAGGAGCAAATTGGAGATTTTATGACACTCAGTTTCGATCGCTACGACAAACAAGAGCACATGAAATGCCTTGGGGTACAACTCATTTTGAGTTGTGGATTCGTGCACAGAGTTTTGCGCATATTTCTCTAGCTCGGCCAAATATTGCACAGACTTCTGGTCGTACCTCGCAGTTGGGTCCATTTGTCCCAATTGGTTTCTGCCGTGCGAATCATAAGGGGGTTAAGTGCACAGGTTGTTCTTACAAGCATAGCTGTTTTAAGTGTGGAGCTGCGCACTCCGCTAAAAGCTGTAATTTTCGATCCTCAGGCAGAACCACCATTACACAACCAGCAGCAGGTGTGCGCACTTCCAACCCCAATAAAAATTGATCGCCTATTGCCTTTGTTACAAGGATATGTTGTCAAAGTTGTTTTAATGTTGTTTGAGGGTTTTACCTATGGGTTTCCTCTTCACTTTGAGGGTGGTCACACCCCTTTTTGTTCAAAAAACTTGATTTCGGCAAATCAAAACCCTGGAGTTGTCAGTGCTAAACTTGCGAAAGAAATTGTGGCGGGTCGCATTGTAGGCCCTTTTTCCCACCCCCTCCTTTTTCAATTTCCGTGTTTCTCCTTTGGGGGTTGTGCCTAAGAAGGTTCCATGCGAGATTCGGCTTATTCACCACTTGTATTTTCCACGAGGGGCGTCCATCAATAATGGCATTTCGCCTGAACACACTACTGTTTCTTATAGTCGTGTGGATGATGCAATTGCCATTATACAAAAATTAGGTAGAGGCTGTTTTTTTAGCTAAAACGGACATAAAGAGTGCTTTTCGCATTATTCCCATTCGTCCAGCGGATTACCCTCTGTTAGGTATCATGTGGCAGGGAAAGTATTATTATGATAAAGCCATGCTCATGGGGTGTGCATCTTCCTGCCGCACATTCGAAATGTTTAGCACTGCTCTTGAGTGGGTTTCTAAAACTCGGTGTAACATTTCACATCTCATTCATATCCTTGATGGCTACCTAATGGCAGGCGCATCGTACGACCAATGTTGCACTGCCTTGCAGGGGCGTAACTACAGGGGGGGGGGGGGTT